CATGACATTGTTTGGATGTGTTAAACGGTCATATCTACCTGAAGAAGCTGTAAAAGGCAGAGTGTCACTGTAAAGAGGAGTAAATAACCCTTTTTATTTATTTATTTTGAACAATTCATTCCTTTGTTAAAGAACTTTGTGCAGTGTTTTGAATCACGATAATAGCTTTTCCGCCACATTGCTCCTCAAGAAAAACCCATTCGAGGTGTTTTCGCCTCATTGTGTTTCCTAAGCTGAACACAGACTTCATTTGTTGGTTTATTTATGATTATTATTTATGCTTACATTTTATATTTCCAATCTCGGAAAGTGTAAAAAATAAACTGAGCCTGTGAGAAATTGTCATGCAATAATCTATATGTACAAGTACAAAGAGTTTTCTCTAGACCAGGGTTGGGCAACCTCAGCGCTCCAGCAGTTATGGAGCTACAAGTCCCAGGAGGCACTGTAAGACTTTGACAGCCACAGGTATGACTCCCAGAGGAAGAAGTAGAATGGGATTTGTAGTGTCACTAGAACTGGAATGCCAAGGTTGCCTACTTGAAGGTTGCTCTAAACTTAGTATATTATAACATATTGGGGTTGATTTACTAAAGCAAATAGGCTGTACACTTTGCAAGGGAATTTGCACTTTGCAGGGGAAGTTTCCCTTAGCTTGGTGAATGTGGTGAATTTTCATTTTGCAAAGAATAGACAATCATGTGCAGAGAAAATTTAAAAAAAAGTATGTTTGCTTCCACATGATTGGGTGATGGAAGTCAGAGAAGATTCACCTCATGCGATAAACTAAGGTGTAATTTCACCTGCAAAGAGCAAATTCCCTTGCAAAGTGAACAGCCTACTTTCCTTTAGTAAATCAACCCCATTGAATAATATTATTTTGTATCTTGAATAAAAATGGAAATCTTCTCTTTGTGTGAGATTCTCTACCTGTAGTAATAGAAAGGAGTCTTCATCTCAGTCCATATGGTTCCCAGTGTTTGGAGGACTTATGTCTAACCATGCAAATGAAATAATAATACAAAATCACCACATTGTTCACAATAACTATAAAGCCATTAAAAAATGTAACAAAGAAGTACCGAAATGCCGTTTTACATAGTCATGTGATATTCCAGTCCCAAGTTTTCTCCCTTCTTCTGTGTACAGGAAACAGGGTCCTTTTTTGGGTGTCCATGTCACTGCCTGTGTCACATGGACTCTTCTTATTAGCTGTACAGTGGTGAGGTCCTATCAGATTTGAGAAGAGTAGTCTGCAGAGATAACATTGGCAAGAGGAGACCAGCATTGATGGCAGGCACAGGCAAATCTGCATCACTGGATTACCAGTACCGGAACCAGCTCTGACAAAGGATGGCCTACTTAGGTGGGTATATTCCTACCTGGATGAGAGGGGGGTAGGAAGGGGTTCCATCTTTGCCTTGGAGATTGTCTTAAAAGGAAATCCAATAGTGTGCTGATTAAGCGCTTCCCATCTACAGGTTCAGAAAGGATTTTATTGGTGTTTGTAAATCCATGTGGAACATTTCTTCCCACTTCCTATCTAAGAAATGAGTAATACACAGAAGAGGAAGAAATGGGAGATCATCTGTATCAGGACACAGACAACTTTTGAAATCTGACAAAAGTTCTAAGCCTTCTCCATTCTGAGGAAAACTAAAAAGATCTGGGCTGGAGTTTGACTTTAGACAAAATTTTCCTTTTTAATATGGGGGTCTGTAAAAAATGTCCATCTTTCAGGACCCTTACCCTTCAGACAGAACATTCCTAAAGTGCCTGTAGTCAGAGTGTTGAGTTCTCTTGTAACAGAGAGCTTTGTAAAGTCGCATGATATTTGCAGAAATACCTCAGCACCTTTCATCGTGCTTTAATACGTTTCATTATTTTGTGCTTTTGATATATCTCTGAATACCATTCACAATCACAGCTGTGAAAGTATTTCCAAATGCAGCCAAATTGTCCATCGGTTTCTTCGTCACAACCAGTTACCTACAGCGTTCTCCAGAGCTCAGGAGCATTACACAGAGCCCTTGTTTATGTAAGATGTACACGAATGGAAGCCAAAGAGTGCAAGTGATCTTTACTTTAGCGGAACATCCATTTCAAAGAACAACGGAAAGTCAGGAATAAAATTGATGAGAAGAATATCCTTGTAAGAGCAGGGGTGGAAAAAAAACATGCCATTAAGTCATCATTTCTTCACTGTCATCTACCAGCATCTGCCCGTCAGTGAGTGGGGGGGAAAAAAACAGCTTCATTAAAATTCATAGTGCGTGAAAGCCATTTTGAATACAATTCTGTACACAAAACAAATTTGAGCGTTTTATTTGATATATTCCTACAGAACGCTGAGCATTTCAATACTTTTCTTCCTGCAAGATATAATGAGGAGGGACATTATGTTGCAAAGCTTTCTGTTACCCTTCAGTAGAAAAGGGAATTGGAATCAAGCAGATAATACAGTGTCCTCCTGTTATGCGCCCGGAAGCCACACTGTACAAAATGATAATGCTTCAGTGGAACAATAGTTATCATGTTTTTTTACAAAATCTTATGCTTGATTCCTTTTTAATGCAGACCTATTTATTGAGCACTAACATTGATACCTAAGGGGCACAAAGGATGCATATTCCATTTCCATGGTTCACTAAATTATTCATGAAAGCTACATAAAAATCTGGGCTTTTGACCCATTTTCTTTTTTTTTTGCATATTGTCAGCTTTTGGGTTAAGATTCCTAAAAATGAGGGCTTCTTGCAGGGCATTGCTTGGGTCCAAAAAAAAGACGAAGAAAGTGCAAGTTTAAAAAGTTTTTTTTTGCCCACATCAACTTCAGTTATCTTTGCATTTAGCAAAATAAGTTGAATGCACCTTATAGGTTTCAAGGGGCCTCCTTCACCAGGGAAGATTTGTGTAAAGCTAGGGTGAAAAGCTACAGATTTCCACATAGAACCAGGCTTGTGTCCTTTTGTTGTTTTTATTTCTCTTCTGTTTCCCTCATTATGCGCTCTCCCTTTTTTTTAACAGTTTCTTCTTCTTCACTAGTACCTTACGTATTTCTCACATCAGGTAAAGAGACAGTTTTCTTGATGTTTGGCCTTCAGTGTCAAACAGGAAGCCTCTAATACATGTTCTACCCAACACTAGAAGTTAAACAGGGTACAAGAATGTCAATATGTCTTTTTAAATAAAATGTCTCCCTTTTCAACAACAGTTATTTCCCTTAAAGTAGTTAGCACTTTTACCCGCCTTAGGAAGTAGTGGTTGCAGGCCTGAGACCTGGGGCACTTGACTGGAAACCTATGGCCAGTGCCTCAGGTGCCAGGGTATAACAACATATACATGTCTGTGATTGCTAATGACAATGAATATAAATACTGATATTGTAGTATCAAAGCCATCCATTCAGGAACACTCCCCTACCCCTTTTCTGTGTCCACCATACATTTTAACCCTTGCTTCTGTCTATAAAGGAAGGCCAATCCTGATCCTGGTATACAGGGCAAAGCAACAGGTTTGCTCTGATGCCCCCCTTCACTGCAGTGCTTCACTCTTTCCCCTTTTATACCATTTATCTGGCAGTAATGAAAATAACACCCTGATTCTTCTGGGTCCATAGCCTGAACAGTCGACTCATAACCTACAAGGGTGGCTTCTATTGCTTCTGACAGCCAAATGGAGCTGTAGGAGAGGAAAAGAAAGGTCGGTATGTGCAGGGCAGAGGAATAATGTAAACCTGTTGCTTTACCCTGTGTGCATATTGCACACATTCATTTTGGCAGAGATTCAATGACTAGTGATTCTCACTATTGTATAGCAAGGCCTGTTAAATACAACAAGCTCATCAGTACTTTCAAAGGGTTGGCAGTTTGTTAAAAACACCTTTTCACTTTGTAATCATTTGCTGAATACATATGAAAATGTTCTATCCTTTCCTGATAAATGGCAATTTTATTTTTCACTGACATCTTTCATTAGCAGTTAATCACAGCACTGCAGCCTGAATACTTGCCATAAGTGCCCTGCTTAATTATACGTTTGTTGTTTTGAATTCGGTTTAGTGAAATATTATTTGCCTAAAGAGCTTAACTCTTTTTATGACTTCAGTTCTTATGTAGATAAGCTAAGCCTTTGCTTGCCTTGTGCCTATGGGAGTACTTTGGGAGTATTTTGCTGTGCGAACCATGTTTAGTAGGTCAGTTAGAACATAAAACTATTTGCTGCTGGTTTTAAAGCCATTGCTCTTAAAGGGAACAATAGTTTTTCTAAAGCTTATCTCCAGGGAAGCAGAAAAATGCAGTCATTATATACAGGCAGTACCCAACTTATGAACGCTCGACTTACGAACAACCTTATGAAACAAGGTATTATTACCCCCCCCTGAGATTAGTGATGCTCCCGAGTCCCACTCCTTGCCTCTGCCACCCACAGGTCCCGCACTCCCGCAGTGTAGTGACACAACTACATACAGCTGTCACTCAGTGCCACCGACTTTACTGCGGTTCATTGTAAAAAAAACTTTGTTTTTATATATAAATACAAAACTAAAAAATGTATTTTTGGTTGGAGTTATACTTAAAAAAATGTACCTGTTCTGACTTACCTACAAATTCAACTTAAGAACAAACCTACAGTCCCTATCTTGTACGTAACCCGGGGACTGCCTGTATACTGTATTTATATATATATATT